GTAAAACTAAACTCACTCAAATCCTGGGAGTATGTTCCAGACATGATTGGTTTATAACTAATTTAAGGGCGGTGGGGTAGTCTAGTGGTTAAATCGTTGGCTCGTCACGCCGAAAACCCGGGTTCGAATCCCCACATGGGTACAATGAGTGAAGCCCATTTCTGGTGTCCCCCGCCGTGATATTGCTGGAATATTGCTAAAAGCGGCGTAAAACCAAACTCAGTCAGTCAGTATAACTAATTTAAACACTGTCTGGTAGATCTCCATACCAGGGACATACAGTACCTGAATGACAAATTAACCCCTCAGCTGTTGTCGATTGTACTTAAGATTTCACTTAAAATAACTAATATACTACGATTTTAAACGTGGTAGACTTACTTTTAATGTGTTGGGTCTTGTCCTCTCACGAGGCCAATAAGTTTACATTACTTTAACAACCTTTGAGGATACAGTCACTAACACTCTGTTGCCAATTTAGGGGCGGTGGGGTAGTCTAGTGGTTAAAGCGTTGGCTCGTCACGCCGAAAAACCGGGTTCGATTCCCCACATGGGCACAATGTGTTAAGCCCATTTCTGGTGTCCCCCGCCGTGATATTGCTGGAATATTGCTAAAAGCGGCGTAAAACTAAACTCAAGCTGTTGCCAATTTAATATACCAATTGAAAAGGATCATTTACTTGCATAGAAAAGCAACTTTATTTGAAGCAGACTCTGATTTCATGAAACACATATCCGTATTCTTTACATCTCACATGTAATTTACAACGGAAGTTTGTCTGTTTGAGATTTTTAATGTGAAGGACATTGTAACTTGGAAGGTTGATCGGCTTCTTTGCGTTTTGTCCAACGGATTTGTCGTCAGATTATATGTGTCGTATGCAGTTTTACTTCATTGTTTCCAATATGTTACGTATGAAGTAAGTTATATATTATGTATTAGCTTAACAGATGTTATTCATTCATAATGTGGAATATGCAAATTATCAATACAGTGGACTCTGTATAATCCGACATCTGAATTATCCGACAATCTGTGAATTCAGACATATTTTTTGGGTCCCGGCAGGGTTCTTCTATATTATCATCATTTAAACATTGAATTATCCGACATCTGTACATTCCGAATTCAGACACCATTTTCTGGTCCCAATGACACTATTAATCTGTACAATCCGACATCCTCTCCAAATACTGGATTAAAATAGCCAATCAACCTGTCAATGGCCAGATGACAACTAACATCCTGTTACTGGTAATCTCTTTGGTCCAGGCACTTACTAATTGCTAATTGAGAGTGTGGGAACGCCTGTACCTTGGTTTTTACAAGCTGAGTGGCCAATGGGAGGACCTTGGTATGTTTGTCAAGCATTGGATGAATGGGCAGAGAAAAGGGATCAATTAATTTGCTGAGATCAATTACCATTACTCATTGAAGATTCTAAAGCCCGTCCTCGACCGCCCCAGAAGCAGCTTGCCGAGATATATGACTTTAGCCGAACAACTGTATGTGATATCATCAAGAGACAAGATGAATATGTCAAGTTGTACGAGTCAACATTGGCAGTGATAAGAAACGTTCTCATCTAGGACATAAATTTGAGAAATTAAACAAAAGTCTTCACGACTGGTTCAAAATGGCTAGGTGTAACATCCCCCCCCCCCCCTTTATTTGCCAAGAAAATAGCCATTAAGCATTAATTTCATGATATAATCCAGTTACAATGTATGGTACTGTTTAAAGAGTATTGAAGCAAGGAGACATTGAATTATCCTACACTCTGTATAATCCGACATTTTTCCCCGGTCCCAGTGAGTGTCGGATTATACAGAGTCCATTGTACATTGTTTGAATATTGTCTGTCGTCAACTGAAATTATGCAATCTGAATAAATAGTATTACATAGTGCTAATATATGCTGCAGCTGGTTGACATATGTACATGCATCTGCTGTGTTTATGTGTTCCGTACATCTCTCTCTCTCCCTCTCTCGGTCTCTCTCTCGTCTGGGGCGGTGGGGTAGCCTAGTGGTTAAAGCGTTGGCTCGTCACGCCGAAAACCCGGGTTCGAATCCCCACATGGGTACAATGTGTGAAGTCTCTATCGTCAGTTTCATCGTATCTTGATCACTAATGCCAGGGTAATGCCAGGGGTTGGACGGCACGCTTACTGGACCCAGGAATGCATCTCTTTGCACGGATATTTAGCAAGGGAACCAATATTTCTGCACATATTAAAATTGTCATCCCAATGGGTAGTTTCGATAGTGTGGTTTTGAATGACAGCATGACTGATCAACCCATAATAGGAAAGCCACGTTCGTAGCAGAGTGAGTCTTCGCAGTCACCAGCAGTAGACAATACCAAATGAGCTGGCATGTTCACTTTCTGCAACACTTTCGTGAACAAGTTGGATGCGATAAATCATTATGTTCGTGCTTTAAAATGAAACTGCTGGTAGCTCAAGAAATTCGAAATAATTGTGAGACATTTTGGGGAAATTAATACTAAATCGTGTAGTACAATATACTGTATATTAACGAAAAGCCAAAGCGCGGATGTTAACCTTTGCAGATATGTTATTAAAGTGAGTGAGTATGGTTTTACGCCGCTTTAGCAATATTCCAGCAATATCACGGCGGGGACACCAGAAATGGGCTTAACACATTGTACCCATGTGGGGAATCGAACCCGGCCTTCGGCGTGACGAGCGAACGCTTTAACCAGTAGGCTACCCCACCGCCCCATGTTATTAAAGCAAATACAAGATACATACATTGCAAATAGCACAAACGGCTTTATCCTTTAACCTAAAAGGTTTCAGCACTGCTCTGTAGGTCAATTAAAAACATGTTACTATATTCAAATCAGGATCGGGTGGTCAGGCTCGCTGACTTGGTTGACACATGTCATCGGTTCCCAACTGCGTAGATCGATGCTCATGCTGTTGATCAAAGGATTGTCTGGTCCAGACTCGATTATTTACAGACCACTGCCATATAGCTGGAATATTGCCCAGTGCGGCGTAAAACTAAATTCACTCACTCATAATGATAACACAAACGTTTGCGAAAGAGATCAAAGTCAGTAGTTTAATAGAGTTCAGTAGTTAAAATACATATTGCTGTGACAAATAGAAAAAATCAAACATTACATCACATTCCAATAAAGCCCAGAAACTACTTATGACGGTGTCGTTAATATAGTCGTGGTTAACCTCACAGGCTCTCCACGTGGTTCCAATACATTTGGTTTAATGGCATCTGTGGAAGTTATTTCGACAGCATTGTTGGTACATTCACACGAGTTGTCTACGATATCGCTAGACATTTTGCAAACCACATATATCCTCTCAAATGGCATTTAAAACTTCTGAACCTATACTAGGCACATAAAGAAACTGTGCACACAAAAATTTAAAATCTAACTTTATCAAACCTGTGTAGACACAAGGGATGGTCCGTGGGGAATGTCTCAACGACAAAGTGGCTGCACATTTTCACTGCCACCGGAACACCATTTCTGCACTGGTGAGACGCTACAAGAACAGAAATGACGTCATCGATCGGCCACGTTCTGGAGGTCCACGTGTAACAACGCCAAGACAGGACAGATGGATAAGGGTGACCCATCTTCGCCACAGGTTTGAGACTGCAGTGATGACTGCCCGAACCATCCAGGACTTCGCCGTATCCACCCCAACACAGTTCGACAACGTTTACGTCATCACGGGATCAGACCACGACGTCCCGCCATGCGGCCTATCCTGACACAACCTCATCGACAAGCTCGCCGAATGTGGTGCCGAAATCATGTCCACAGACCCTTGTTTTGGTGGAGAAATGTTGTTTTACAGATGAGTCCAGGTTTAACATTTCCCATAGTGATGGATGTCAACGTGCCTATAGACGCGAGGGAGAACGTTATGCACAGGCCTGTGTCTTGGAGAGGAATCGCTTTGGTGGTGGTTCCGTGATGATTTGGGGTGGAATAACAACACGCCAAAGAACTCCTTTGGTGATTGTTCAGGGCAACTTAACTGGTGTGGGCTGCAGGGATCAGATTCTTCGACCCGTTGCATTTCCTTTTTCTGCAACGTCATGGCCCTGTGTTAACATTCCAACAGGACAATGCCCGCCCTCATACGGCAAGGGTTGCTATAGATTTCTTGCAACGCCACAACAATGACTTACTGCCTTGGCCTGCAAATTCACCGGATCTCTTCTCGATAGAGCATGTTTGGGACGAGATGGATCGACGTCTACGCCGTCTTCCTCATCCGCCAGATCACGTCCTTGACCTTGCAACAGAACTTGAGAGAATCTGGCGTGACATCCCACAAGCCTTCCTTGCACATTTGATAGACTCTATGCGTCGTCGATGCACTGCTGTTCTCAATGCCGATGGTGGACATACCCGTTATTGAGCTTGTGACATGGTCGTTTGACCCTGTCCCCGTGGACTCGTGACGTCATTGTGATTGACTTTTCAATTGAAATTCTCTCGACTTGTTATGGTCTCATGATCCCTCCATTAAAGTTTATATGTACCTTTGACATTGTTATCGTATTTATCAACTGGGATAATATTTTTGACAATGCACAGTTTCTTTATGTTGCTAGTATAGTTCTGACACAATACATTGTCAAAATATGCAAATGTGATATGGTAGAATTCTACGATAATTGTTTGTTTCACATTAATTTTTCTACTCGCTGTGCGCATGCGCAGAGCATGTAAAAATGTCCACTGGCCAACTTCCGGTTTGGTCTTATACTTTACCGAGTGTGAACACACCCTAATGAAAACAAAAATCAAACAAAATATATAGTTTTATGTCGAATGCAAATGATCCCAATTGATTTATGAAACAAAGGCCGGGATTAGTTAAATAAATAGCTTAATTTATGTTAACAAGCTCTTGTATATAGACATCTCATCACCACCGTCCTTCCTGCACATCCCCTTCTCACAACTAAAAACACCCCCACATCTCGTTTATTATTCCTTATGCTCTCAAAAGATGGACATCACGCAGCACAGGTAAGAAATAACACACCTATATTTATGAGTTTTGTTAATCCCAAGGCATCAGGTGTATACTTTCTTTTGTACATCAGTCTATGTGCTCACTAAAGTCTGTTGAAGGTACAATGTACGATTTCCACATGTGGTAATGTTTTAAGCGTGAAAGTTCATATATAGATAATTTATCTGAAGCTCAGTTTTATCTCATATGATTCCCTAAACTTCATTTCCGAAATATAAAGTTTATGTTATCCCTTAGTGAACACGTTGGTTCCTTCAAGTTTCGTCTGTAACCCTCCTTGTAGAGTGGATCGGATGGACACCACGCATCTTCAGGTCTCAGAGCCAGTTTAACACTCTGAAAGTACACAGGACTAAAATAAACATGTTATTACTGATTAGGGCTGGGACGGGTAACCCGGGTAGGGTGGGTAATGAGTTGGACCCGGTACCCGTCACGTTGCCCGGATCCGCCTTGATCACGTGACTAACAAAATAAAGACTTAATTGAATGTGTTTATAATTATTACATATATCTACAACGAGATTGTTGTCTTATGTTTGAAATTGCGGACTAAACTAGCACAAGGTATCAACTGTCGACAACTATCATGTCACGTGTAACATAGGTTGCAAGTACTTCAAGTAGTTAATTGTTTACATGTGAAAGACTCAAGAACGCAGACGTTCGCCTCAAATAGAGTCTGAACAAACCGCGAAGGTAGACCTATTGTTACCGAAACTCGGTTTCAAAACATTTACCAAACTGTACAAAGCACTACTTTGGCCAGTTATAACTTAAGGCATTTTAATCTATAGAACAGAGGACTATTCATCTATCAACGCAATGCAAAACCGTGCTATGATATTTTACCTAGGTCTAGGCTATTGAAGTCGAGGCTTATGAAGAAGTTATTGGTGACATGGGATGGAACCCTGCAACTAAGTGTACGACAAGATATATGCTTGATTCGTTACTGGAGGAGAATGGTGAATATGGACCAAGAACGTATAGAGCACTATGTTATTAATTTGGAAAATAATCAAGCACGGAACAGACACAAGCCTTGGCACTTAGCTTTCTGCCGGCGAATGAACACATTGGGAATCACCAAGAAGCTCTTTTAAAAAACATCATCACTGTTAGAGACTGTGAAAAGTATCGTTACAAGCTTTTATAAAAATAAGGGAAAATTCATCACACTTGGAGATCGCGAAACGGGGATCGAGGAAGAACAAACTCGTGTGTTTTTGCAAGGATTAAAGATTTTAAAATTATTGTTTTTCAGATGACCCCCGACTCGAAATGCTTCACAGTACACTACATGATGTTTATAAAAAAATCTTTAATCCTCGCATAGACACGAGGGTCTGTGCTACAGAATCCATAAATCAATATTCGATATAACAGATGCCTATGTTTTAACACCTCAAAGTCTCACAGACGTGCCCTCGCTTAGTTCAGGACGGGTGTAGCGCCTCCGCGTATAGAAACCGGTCGTTATGAAGGAATCGAACTTACAGATAGAAGATGTACCATGTACATACGGTGAGACGTAAATAAGCAATCTGTCTGTCTGTCTGACTATGTCCACGGGAGAGGGAGAGAGGTATTTACTTTGAAAACTTTATGTTTACATTACATTGTTTACTTGTTAGTTTAAAGGTGTACACTTTTTATTTATACCTTCAATTATATTTTGCCTGTAGATTGGAATGGCATTTGTTTGTAGCTCCTGGTTTGTTACGGAGGGATCTTTGTTGTTCAGATGTTCACATCGATTACGTACTCCCTCCTTTCTGACTTAGTTGCACTGTGCTGAAAGTGCATTCGGTCTTTGTGCCTCATGCGAGTTTTCAAAATATTTCCAGACACCACTCTTAATCTCGGCCATAACTGATTTTATTGAAGGGAAATAACTCGCAATTAGTGTTATAACGGGTACCCAGGTAGGAAATGTGGACCCGTCCCAGCCCTATTACTGATACTTCAGACCATCCGTATTCCACCCCATTGACAAATCAGTGTAAAATTAATAAGCATCATATTTAATATGCATCGCAAAGATATCATTAATACATCGCATGTCGTAGAAATGACAGTTTCCTTGACACATTAGTATACTAAATGCCAACCTAAAGACTAGTTGGAAACAGAGTTACAATATGACTGAAAGTTAGCTGATATGCACATTTATTGATGGATTAAACCAATGTGTTTGTTCAGCATGGAGTGGCACTGATATGTTTAGAATCAATATTAGAAACTTTGAAAGAGAGAGCACCATAGACTCTTACCCATGTTATGACACAAGGAGCGAATATACGAGGTGGTGGTGGAATTGGGTTTAACGTCGTGCTTGAGAATATTTCGCTGATATGACGACGTGCATGCGTGTGTATGTGTATGTGCGGCTGCTTGTACTAGCCCAGACTTCAGCTGGTTTTATAGGGCTAGCCCACTGAGATACCATACCACAGTGAAGCATGAATACCCCACTCAGACACATTATACTGACTCCGAGCCGACCAGTCCTTGTTGTACCCATTAATGCCGAGCGCCAGGCAGGGACCAACAAGTACCATATTTTAACGTCTTTTGGTATGACGCGGTCGGGGATCGAACCCGCGACCTTCCGCTCTCCGGGCGGACGCTCAAACCACTACACCACGGAAGCGGTCAGCAAATATAAGAGACATGATCAGACATCCTTAATAGGAGATGATGTCCGGATTTTAGTCTTTAGTTCAAGGATCAGCAATAATCGTTTTTAAACTGTGTTGTACAAACTAAAACTTCCAACACAATAAGCTAATCACTCACTCATCATCATGCAGGAATTTTTGGATAAGCAAAATCTCGTAAATGAAGACTAGAAACAGCCTTCTAAGCATTAGTATACCACCACCCCTTAATCGTCACAAGGAAGCTATGCCAACATAGCCTATGATAGAGTGGCACAAAATGCACATTGTCGTTGATGTTCCTGAATTTCACAATTGACTTTCGGATCAGTTTTCAGGGTTATCTGCCTAAAGAGCCTTCCAGTATGCCCGTCAAGAACCTTTCCAATACTTGCCTTCAATAATCGTGGTGACGACGTCAGTAACATGGTTTTGAAGTTGCCTAACAGACTAGTCTTCAGGCAAACACAAACGACGCGACAGATTTACGGACAAATCGGAATGTATCGCCCAAAGCTATTATTGGGAAACTTGCAATCGAACTATCTGCAAGATGCAGAAGACCAATGTACATTTATATGAGTACCTCTGTGAGTGTGTGAGCAGACAGGTGCTTCCTCACTGCTGTTATCATGTAGAACGGTACTGGAATAAGTGCAACTGCCGCGATGAACCATCCAATTGTGCCAGCATAGCCTGGGAAAGAGTACTTGCCATAGGTCGGGGGCTGGTACCATAGCAGGGTCAGTATGAAAACAATCTGAAGAAATCACGTATGTTATTCTCGCTGCACAATGTAATGGTACATGCTTATTGGAAGTGCCAGCACTGTGTGAAATCCGTGTGGATGTGTTTTTTAGAAATTTACATGACAACAAAAAACACTAATGTGAGCTAAATATCATTATACTGAATAATAGGCTATATTGAACGAGCGAGTTGGGTATATGTGCTCTACTGTATGTAACAGTATCTTAAGTATGTTCTGTTTGTTTGATCGGGTCTGGACCAGACAATACTGTGATCAACATCATGAACATGGATCTACACAATTGGGATACGATGACATGTGTCAACCAAGTCAGCGAGCCTGACCACCCGATCCCGATAGTTGCCTCTTACGACGAGCTCGGGTCTAACCATGATCTTCAAACATTGTGGAAAAATAAGTTTTTAATTGAAAGAAATATGATAAGTGCTAGACTACGTTTATTGCTCACACATTGTCAAAATGAATACAAGTTCGAATAACAACACTTACTGAAAGTAGCACTGGGATGACAATAGCCCACATGATCTTTATATAAACAGGTAGATGTCTCCCAATCATCATCTCAACATCTTTGCTGATTTGATTCACTCCTGGAAGACAAGAGAATGTATAGTCTGGCCATTACGAAATGTTTAGAATCAACATGTGAAAATGGTTCAAATGCCCATAAAATGATTGACAAAAATGATGTGCATTTTTCAAGCAATTACGGATACTGTATAATGAGTCGTTCTGTACAGTGAAGTATCTTAGATATTACTGATAACGGTTAGCACCACTATCCTTATTGCTCTGGATCTCGTTACTGGTCAGTTATTAAACATATGTATCTGTAGCCACGTAACTAAGAAGACAAAAGTAACATCAGTCCTAATGTTGACGGTTTCGTTTATATTGACATACAGATCGATATTGTAAAACTATATATGTATTGTCAAACACAGTTCAGGGTCCCGATCCACAAAGCGGTCGTAAGGTTGAGACCTATTGTAACTCATCATTGGCTTACGAATGACGTAATGCTACGAACGCTTTGCGATAGGGTCCCTTGATGAAGAAGATGGATAACACATTTCTACACATGAAGGGTTTTGCATTGACAGATTTTACACATCTTACTCATGGAAATACAGTCAGGGCTCCAGATCATTATTTTGACAAAATTAAAACTTGAGGATTAAAATACCAAATGTAAAAAAGGAGGAGTATTTCACAGGTTGCATGGTTGCTGATTGAAACAGTTTTCCTTTCAAACAAACTCGACGAGTTTCTTTTGGTTTGTCTTTCTCTTACTGCAGACGACAGGAGATATATGACAGTGCGCGTTGAGCTATTGCGCATTAAATGTTTTCCTACACTGGTTTCTGGCTATCACGTAATATACAGTAGTTCTAAAGCTGTATTATTACTGATATGGACCGAAACGATGTAACGTTGTTTAAGGGCTAGCTTTTCAACAAATCGTGCCCCGAACGTGGATTAGAAATATTAAGGGAGATCATTCGCAATAACTCGAAATCTTCGCTTCAATACAGACAACCAACACTATTCGAGATCTTAAGATCGGCTGAGTAGGACTGAAACAGTACTTTGACAGGTTTGGTTCACGCATGTAAACAAAATCTGATTCGTATTCTGAGAAAGTTATGATTTGACTTTTTATGCGTATATCTGAATTATCCATGCGTAATCTACGCAGATACGCATCTTATCTGGCCCCCTGATAGTACTGTGCATTGATAGTTGAATTTGGCGATTAGGTATTGGTTAAAGTGTTGCCGGAGACCCGTGTTCAATGGGTACAATGTTTTAAGCCCATGTCTGTTGTCCGCCGTCGTAATATTGAAGGAATATTGCTAAAAGCGACGGAAACTTAAACTCTATCACTCACTAATGCATATACGATCTAATAAAATATCACCATAGGCGAGCGGAACAAACAGCATGAAACACTTGTTTCTAAAGATACATATAGGTGGTACATAGTTTCATTTACTGATCAATAACGAGTTCCTGTGACCTACTGTTACAGAGAGTATTCACTGCAACCATCATCGCATTACTAAACTCAAACCCTATAATAATGCTTCATCAATAATGTCTTAGTCTGGCATTACTGATTATGAAAGTTTGAAAGAGTTTCCTACATCGACAATATCTTCTTGTTTTTAATGTGAAGAAGAGTATCGTCATCATCAGCATTGTTACTAAGAGAAGTTATGATTAATTTAACGATGTTTATTGTTTAGTACCCAATATTGTTAGATGAGGTGAGGTGAAATTGTGTTTAACGTCGTGCTTGAGAATATTTCGCTCATATGACGTGTATGTGTACGTGCGGCTGCTTGTACTAGCCCAGACCTTCAGATGGTTGTATAGTGCTAGCCCACTGAGATACCATGCCGCAGTGAAGCATGAATACCCCACTCAGACACATTATACTGACTCCGAGACGACCAGTTCTTGATGTACCCATTAATGCCGAGCGCCAGGCAGGAACCAACAAGTACCATATTTTAACGTCTTTTGGTATGACGCGGTCGGGGATCGAACCCGTGACCTTCCGCTCTCCGGGCGGACGCTCTAACCACTACACCACGGAGGCGTCCAATGTTGTTAGAACTAACAAGTGACCTCACCGTAGACCCACACAATGGACACACACTCCACGGTACAGAACACATAGAAATAGAACGCGCCTATGTACCAGTCCACCAGCTGCAGTATGTATTGTCCACCCTGGAATGGACGTACATTGGTTTATTCGTATTAATTAACTATGTCTCCCCACAAAAAGGGAAGGTAGCCACAGCGATAACGTTCTAATCCATTTGTCGAGCCATACCTTGAACATAGTTTGTAAAACGTCACTCAGTATATGCTTGCTCATCTGCCCTTTGCCACATAACATGTCTTATTTGCTTATTGTTTTATGTTTCCATGGAAGCAATTTCAATTTAGTCTCAAATGAAGGTAGGGTTCGTCTCTGAGCCTAACTTGAAAACTCGTGAACGCATTCCATTAAAACTTGGAATATGTGTTGTTCATCATTTCAACTGGCTCCTTTTGCTATTTTGAAATTTCATTATCTTATGTTTCCATGTGAACAATTACGACTTATCATCCGACCTCGGTTTTTATGAAAATATCACATTTTGTGACGACACGTCTAACATGGCATATTCCGAATTATGAACGGAAAACTGATACATAGCAACATTTACAGATTACCGTACTCGTTTACATTTCTTTCTGTTTCAGACAAACATTAAAGCTCAATTTGTACATCACGGTTAAAAAATGGCTGAATCTATTTCTGAAAATGTTTTTATTATGCAGATTATCGAAATCACTTACTTACTGTACAGCAAGAGAGGTTACTTTGTATAAAAATGCTTTGTGAAATAGACACAGTAATAATACATAAATACGAACAAGGCAAATCTCAACCTTCCAGGATAAATATTGTGCATGTTATTTCATCGGCATTATGATTATCATATAACTTAAATCTTCTTAGCATATTTAAATCATACCTGTGTGCAATATACGATTCCAATCAGAAAGGATACGACACACACAGCAGCTGTAACAATCCGTCGCCTCCTGGACAAAGTGCCAGGAAACCGATCAACTAGAGCGGTTACAATAGCCTCCACATTCAAAAACTGAAAACAGAAAGGAGTTGCTTTGTAACGACCTCTTCAAAACCCATGCAACATCTACGTACACAATATGGATATGGTCGTGAAATCATTCTCTATACCATCTTCAATAAATAACACCTGTTTCTTTAAAGGAGAATACGAGTGAATTGGAATAGTTTGCTGGGTGAAAGATAAAGTCATCAGAAACATATTCCCAAATTTTCAATTAAAACTTATGTATAATTAAGTTTTAATCGCGAAAACAGTTTCTGTAAATCTCAGCTTCGGCCATGGTGAATATTTCGTTGGAACCCACGTGACCTTTCCGCTCGTGACGTCAAATGTGCCTGGAGTCTGCCATATTGCCAAAGACCAAGCGCTACAGTAGTACAAATCGTGTTGTTTCTGTCGTTTTTTTAAATGGTACGATGGTGTATTGATGCACGGCATCATCGAACATGGGAAAGAACCACCATTCCTTCCGTTTTCCAAGTGAAATGACAGATTTCAGCAGGAGAAATGCGCCGATCATTCCACAGGGGCTTGTAACGCTAAAAACTGCCATCAAGGCATATAATGTCACTGACGGGGTCTTAGTACCATAGACCCCGTCAGTGACAGTGTATATGCCTTGATGGCAGTTTTTAGCGTTACAAGACCCTGTGAACTTACTGTCAGTGGTATTTTTAACATAAATTAAATCAAGTCCGATTGCCAGTCGCATTGCCCCCGCTGCAAAAAGACCCAGCAAATTTGGTCAAATTGCCCCAGTTGGGTAGTCAAAATGCCCCAATTTATTTAAAATGAATAAATATAGGCCATAAATGCATAGTTTTGTCAACTTTGATATTATGTTCTTTATATATAAGTATATACATAGTTATGAGTTTACTGATGAAACATTTATCAGAAATATTACTTCCTAATAACCTTTATATGAAGAACATAACATCATAATAAGTCGACAAAAACTATGCATTTACGGCATATATTCAATCATTATAAATAAATTTGAACAAATTAGAATGAATGACCAAATTTGCTAGGGCATTTTGTAGCTGGGGCAGTTCGACTGGTACCCATGAGATATATATTATCAAAATCAGTAAGAGATTTCACATGAGCTTGAAAATGTTTCGCTATAACGTTCTTTTCGATTTGGAACCCTAAATGATGCAATCATCTCGAAACATTGCCGAATACAACGGCAAATCATGAAGTACTAGTTGCTTTCATTGTTTTCCATTTTGTCCAATTACGCACGTCGGCATCAGACTCGCTATTTGTCAGTAGTGTGTGCCGTGAAAGTTGTTCTGTATTCTCATTGGCTGACTTCTGTATTCTCATTGGCTGACAGGATGCCATTCTAAGGCTATGACCGTGTACCATAACTTTTTCCATAACCAAACAATGGGGAAACATACGTTGTCCTGACTAGTATTTTATAATTGACCAGTTTTCGGAAAATAACTTATCTGCGTCGCGAATATTATCTCTGCTCGACCAGGCTGGGATCTTTTATCGAGACTTGATACGTTATTAATAAGAACAAGGATCCTAATTTTTTTCAACAAAATAATTCCAGTGTAATTTTTGAAGCAGATAATTTGTTTTTCCCTCGTCTGAAGCATAATTATTTTGTTTTTAAATCCCAGACACCCTACAGTCACCCATCTGACACAAAATGAACTGTAATCACATTTCTTGTTAAATAATTCTTAGTGACTGGTCATATATTTATAGGGGTGAGTTTGCTGGCTGGAACTGTATGACATTTTGCTGACAAATAGTAATCTTGTTAAATGATATGGTCTATTTTAAAATTTATTTTGACCTGAAGCGGTGCCTCCGTTTCGCTTGATTCTTCTTCTTCATCTTCACTGGAAGATTGTCTTGCAAGATGTAAAATCGGATCGTATTGATACGGTCTAACGTCCATTCAGAAATGACATCAGGAACATCTTTTACTGCTTCAGAATCCACGGACACTGTCAAGTTGTGAGGTAAAATCAAAGGGGAAGCCATCAGTAACAGGCACTTATGACGTCATGTCACGTGATACCCCCCCTCTGCTCATTAACTGTCGGGTGTTTCCGTATTAGGCAGAAATACGACTACGTTTTTGTGTTTTTTATTGCTATTTTTCAAACTTTTTGTTTAATTTTAATCACGGAATGTGACTTTTAGAATATCCTTTACAATATATCAAAAGTTTTGTTTTCGTACGTATTCTCCTTTAAGAGTAATATTTTAGGTTTGCTATTGGCACGCATTCATCTCTGATTTAATTTACAATTCTTTTCTGTGTTTGAGTAAGAAATATCCCAGAGATATCACGGTTGTCTGTATACAATCAGGTGAAGGCAAACAAGTTGTTAATAGATGATACAGAGTGCGGGTCCACAAATAGATACATCTCACCTGAGAATCAAGGCCAATTGTAAGCAGCATCAAGAAGAATATAAATGACCACACTTGGGGAAACGGAAGGTGCACAAGAGATTCTGGATACAACACAAAGCCTAATCCTGTTCCTGTAGCAAAACAAAAAGAATAATGCAGAAACACCGACAATTGGTTTTAATTCTAAGGTGATTGGAAAAATGGCAACAAAACATAAATTACATTATGGCTGACATTAGACAACAATGAATCACAAGAGTATAATATTACCTGTTGTATCTGAATTTACACAAGCACATCTTTTGTGCTTTCACGTTTTCACAGTGAATCTGTATGTGTGTATCTATAGCGCTGAATGCATGCCGCATTTTCCTCAGATATATGTAATGCTTTGAGAAAATCTGCACAATATATTTTAGACTGGGTGTCATTCATTAATACCAAATAAACGTTTATACAACTATTTTTGTATTTTTGGTTAGCATTGATGCAATTATGAGCGGGATACACATACATGTACACAGCAACGTTATATTTCTCCTGGTTGATGGTGTTTTACATTCTTACAAGTGCATGATTTTAGTTACCTTTTGCATCAGTTACCAATAGAATCTTCTGTGGTATATAACATACAGATAGTTCTCTGCTGTTGACTTTCTATATGTTTGAAACTATCAAAAGATCAACGAGTCATTATTTGTGGACATATATATCCTAAGAAGCAGTTTCATGTGTGTCAGGATGGCTCAACCTACAGATGCTTCAAGACTCGAGTTTCCTCCAGATGAAGCGTAGAAAATCATCTTACTTATATTTTCTATAACCAATGTCTCATATTAAATGTCAGTGCATCGGAAATCAACTCACTTACCAGCCGAAGAAATATTTTGTTATCTTATTTCCTTTTTCTATTATCCAATGTCTTATGAAAAATCAGTGCAGCCGAAGTCACTCACCAACAGCAGACATATTTTGTCGAACATCGACCAGGATACAGATTTACATAATGTAAACTTACTTACCACTGGAAACTACTCTTGAGATAGGAACTCCTGTTTTCTCTGACATGACGCCAAGGGTGGCAAAAGTCACAAATCCAGCAAAGATGCTTGTTCCTTCTGATATCGCACATACTATAATGGCGTCTCTGTGAAATATACATGTGAAAGTTACACTTGGAGATCTGGATTAGAATTTGTCTTTTGCAGTCCATGTCATCGTATTCCAATGGCGTAGATGCATGCTCATGCTGGATTGTCTGGTCCAGACTCGATTATTTACAGACAGCTGCTATATACCTGGAATATTGCTGAATGCAGCCCTGCCAACGTAAATGCACGTTGTTATACGTCAATATTTCTTATTTTGAAGGCGACATTCAAATGCATCTCATCAGAACCCATAATATACATGCATGTTTATTTAGTAAACATGTATTATTAGCTTCACAGCAGCATCTGTAGCAACATGTCAAACGGATATGTAAACATCCAAAATACCTCACAATTCAAATCACTAGGGTTTGATGTTATGGTCATTTGTCACACTACCATTAACTTTTGTGAGGGAATGATACAAAGGCCATCACAATCCATTTCACTGATCATAGAGTGATTGAGTGAGTATGGTTTTACGCCGCTTTTAGCAATATTCCAGCAATATCACGGCGGGGGACACCAGAAATGGGCTTCACACATTGCACTCATGTGGGGACTCGAACCCGGGTCTTCAGCATGTCGAGCGGACGCTTTAACCATTAGGCTACCCCACCGCCCCCTGATCATAGAGACATACTATTCAGAGAGATAACTGGTACCATCAAATCAACATGGTCATGGTGCCATCTTAAATTGCAAACCCGTGAGGGTCCGGGTCAGAATATTGATCTTCAGTAACCCATGATTGTCGTAAGAGGCGACAAACGGGATCAGGTGGTCAGGCACGCTGACTTGGTTGACACAGTTCGATGCTAATGCTGTTGATCCCTGGATTGTCTGGTCCAGCCTCGATTGTTTACAGAACGCCGCCATATAGCTGGAATATTGCTGAGTGCGGCGTAAAACTAAACTCACTCACTCATTCACTCTTAAATTGCAATAGATATGTAGCAGCAAGATGTCTTCGAAATGACGCTCAAAGACTTCACATACACTTCAGAATACAGTGATGACTTCAGCACGCCCAATAAAAATAAAAAATCAAGTTCCTGTTTTTGTACAGCACCTAATGGTGAACCAACGAAAACAAATGGTTTACGAAAATAAGACTTACGCTAAGCATGGCTCGTGAAACCTGTTGTAGCTTGAAGCAGCACCAATAGACCCCCAACCTAGCGCCAGTTCGTACATCACCTGGAGCAATGCTTCAATCCACACCTGTTGGTATAGAACTGTATATACAATGGGATTTGTTATTTAGTATAACTGATAATTGAAATCGTATTGAGAACCCAATACCATGATAAAGAATGTAAGGTATTTACATTTACTTAATGACATGGATCTTTGTGGAATAAACACATGCATTTCATTTAATCACATAACTGTTTGTGGAAAAATCTTTACATTTAATTTAACCACGTAATCATTTGTTGAAAACTGATTTGCATTAAATTAAATCACATAACCATTTGTGAAAAAAAAATAACGCTTTACTTACATTGCATTTAATCACATCATCCCTTGTAGAAAAGACGTTTTAACATTTAATTCAATCACATAACATTATGAAAAAAAAGAATATTTGTCATGATCATGCTTTGAGTTAGAAAACAATATTGGTCTATTGTTATGTAAATTTAAGTAGTATACATCGAAAATACCTGTGCATGTAGAAGTTCACTGAAGTCGGGAGTGACGATATGCATTAAACCAGCTCCAGCGCCGGGAAGCATCAACATCCTTATGAAGATGGTTGCCAGAAGGATGTAAGGCAGCAGAGCTGTCACATATACAGCCTTTGGGGCAAAGATTAACCATTCATGTTATAGCTGTAAGGATGAGATTGGATTATCGCGTTGCATGCACTACAAGGCGCTGTATCGTGTCTAGTTGGTGGCATCCGTCATGACAATATGAAAAGCTAGTTAATTGTTTACTTGACTAAGTACCGGAATGTTGTAAGTCCAAATAAATTGTTTCAGCAGACATCATACTGATATGCAAAATTTGAAAATGTTCTCCGAAAGTCTACCATAAAACCTTTTGAAAGCTTTACTGAGGCTTTGAACGTTATGTCCTTGATCAAATTAGAATTCTGAGCAAGAGTTGTGTGTATGATGTAAGTCGTTTCTGAAGACTGTCTGAGGTGAGTAAGCACCCCAGCCACAAGATCGTCCTAAATCCTACAATAGACAAATGCATGTACCATGATTGATAGTTACCTTACCCACAGACTTGATTCCACCTATCATACACAGGAACATCATGGCATAGGAGGCAAAAAGACAACCAACTAAATGCCACTGGACGGAACCCACCTCCTCCAAACCACTGGAAATATTCAACACGTTGTACCTGCAACCGACATATTATAATCAACGATCGTATCTTTCATAGGAGTGAGTGAGTGAGTTAAGATTTATCGTCACATCGGACAATATTTCAGCCATATCGTGACGAGAACATTTTATAATGATAGTAAAGATCAATAAAGTTAGAAATTAAAAAACCTGTTGACGAAGAACAGTAAAACTACTAGTGTATCACAGATATCCATTTAAAACTAGCAATTCAATCTAAAATATTGGAACTATATATAAATAGCAACGTAGACAAATACAATATACACAAAACATACTCATTTTACAGTACTTCAACCACCCTTGAGGATACAGCCACTAACAATCTAAGTTATTAATTTAAACTTCAAATCATAAAATATTTATCTATTTACAAATCAGTTTACAAATCTAATTCTTTTAAAAATGCAATAATTAAATGAGAACTTATATTACTAAAAAGATCCTTCATAGTTCGAGATTTGAAAAAGATATCCCTTGTGATGTCTTTCATAGGAGAAGATATTTCCTGATGCTATGCTAGACTGAGGATGATGAGGATGATAATGGCTGGTTGTTTGGTTGGTTTGTTTGTTAAAGAATATGTGGCTGGGAAAATGTATAACCAAATCCCAGATTAAACATTACCCTTAGTACAATCAACGAATAACGTTTTGTCAAAAGGAAGACTTTTATAGCATGTACTTTTAAAACACAACCCGTGAAGATCCGCGTTAGAACGGGTCTTCAGCAACCCATGCTTGTCATAAGAGGGAACAGGTGGTCAGCGTGCCTGAAATGGTTGACACATGTCATCGGATGCCAAATGCGTAGATCGATGCGCATGCTTTTGATCATTGGATTGTCTAGTCCAGGTTTTGTCAGTCATAAAGATGGAATATTGATGAATTCGGGGTTAAACAACAAACAAATCTTACTGCAAGAACTCCTCAGCAGCTGAGTGTGAGAGTGTCACGTTTTGCCACGTTTCCGCTACGGAGCTTGTGTTAGTTACATCAACTGCAAGTGTCAGGTTACTGGAAGCGATGTCTGTGACATCTTCAATACACATTCCGCTGTTCCAACTGTTGCTGCAAGTCGTCCATGGCAGGACGCTGGAGCAGGACTGCACCATGTAGTAGAAGGACAAGGCCAGAAGAATGCTGTAATAGGGCACGAAGACTGGATACAGCAGAATGGATCCGACTCCGATGCCTGAATGGCAACAACAGAGCTTTAAGCAAACATGTTCACAATCATTACTGAGTGAATGCATGATTCTCCACTTGAAACATGATGGTTTTGCATTAAACTGAATATGTGAGGAACCGTTCATGCAGTGAGTTACATATTACAAATCTCTAAATGCCTTAAGGGCTTTGGTTTGTTGTTTAACACCGCATTCAGCAATAACCCATCTACATTGTATATGACGGCGGTCTGTAAGTAATCGAGTCTGGACCAGACAACTCAGTGATCAGCATCATAACCATCAATCTATGGAATTGGGATACGATGACATGTGTCAACCAAGTCAACGAGCCTGAACACCCGATCCTGTTAGCCGCCTCTCACGACTGGCATAGGTTGCTGAAGACCAATTCGAACCCGGATCTTCACGGGCATGGTTCTTTCTGAACTGTTACATCTTTGCTGGCTGGTCTGCGTGACCGTCGTCGACTGCCTAGCCCGGAACACACTGAATGACCGTTCCCTGACCAATACGTTTGAGACTTTTCAAGGAGTTACCGTGCAGATATTAACGTCCACTCCATTCAGTATCTGATGACCAATTTTAGCCCGGACTTCACGGGTTGCCTGATAGAGGACACTTACTGCAGGAGTTATTACATTTCAGAAACGTGACTTTATTACTTTTGATTTTTTTTCTTTTTTAAAGCCTTTGACTTCATTGCATAAATACGACTGACTAACTGACTGAGTGAGTTTGGTTTTACGCCGCTTTTAGCAATATTCCAGCAACATCACGGCGGGGGACACCAGAAATGGGCTTCACACATTGTACCCATGTTGGGATTCGAACCCGTTATTCGGCGTGATTTGAGCCAACGCTTTAACCATTAGGCTACCCCACCAACCTAAAAAAAATACGATGTGTTAGTGGGGATACGCTCATCGTTGTGCTAACACCTGGTATCATCACTATTTAATAGCGATAAACACATGTTATCGTCGAGATCGTACACTCTGGTTTTGGCAGAGACTTTATGTGAGTGGGGAATGGGCTTTGTCCTATATGAAACATACAAACGATGTTATGTGTATTATATATACGCTAATATGCACACACCTTTGAACATGGGGCAGTAACTCCACACACGGGGATTTCCTCTTCCGGAAAACTGTGAAAGGGAAACCTCCAGAAAGAAGAGAGGAAACCCAATGATCATGACACAAAGTGCGTAGGGCAGGAGGAAGGCACCTGTAGACACATGGAAAGCTCAGGTCACAAATCAACGTTAAGCAACGTTGGTCGCGGAGAGTACTTGGATGAGTGACCGTGTTTTGCAGCTTGACTCCTGCGAGTTTTGGACTTCAGTCCTGCCCCACATCGAAGCACATGTGATACATGTCTCACCTTGGGCAAGTGATTTTGTTCAAAATTGCCTCTCTCACCCAGCAGAAAATGGGTAACCGGTGAAATACGTCGTGAGACTATTAACCTTCTAGGCCTGTGGCCTCCTCAGTACTCAAATAAAGATTGATTGATAAAGAATTCTTACATACAATAGAGGCATATTGGTATCCAAAGGTTTCAGTGACAAAGAATTCTTACATACAATAGAGGCATATTGGTATCTAGAGTCGGTATCTAAAGATACAATAGAGGCATATTGGTATCCAAAGTCTTCAGCAACAAAGAATTCTTAAAAACAATAGAGACATATTGGTATCCACTTTTTTCAGCGATATAAATAATTCTTATGTACAAAAGAGACATTGGTATCCAAAGATTTCAGCGACAACGAATTCTTATATACAAAAGAGTATTGGTATCCAAAGTTTTCAGCGACAAAGAATTCTTACAGAAGACATGAATATTTTACCTCCTCCATTTCTATTACAAATGTAGGGGAATCTCCACAAGTTCCCTAATCCAACACAATACCCAAGTAAGGATAATATGTATTCAAGCCGGGAATTCCATTTAGGTCTATCAGATGCCTCACTGAGTATTTCCACATCCATCTCACCCACAGCGTTTGCCGGATCAGTACTGTTTGTCTGGTTTGTGAACATTGGGGAACCTGTAACAATGACATAACACATTTTGAAGAAATACTTTCCCAGTTGGTTGGTTGGTTTGTTATTTAACGCCGCACTCAGTAATATTCCAGCTGTATGGCAGCTGTCTATAAATAATCGAGTCTGTACCAGACAATCCAGTGGTCAACATCATGAGCATCGTTCTACTTTCCCAGACACCATTCACAGTCTTGAACTGAACTACTGCTTATTGATAAATAACCCGGAGCCTTAATCATAACAAACTGGACCAAACTGGTTGCTAAAGACCAATTCTGACCCGGATCTCCATATCCCTGATGAAAATATCTTTTGTACTCACGAATGTCCGCATTTTGTTTCTGGCTACTGGTTTGAAACATGCTCGCGGACGTTAATTCAAGAAATACAGCAAGTATCGTTGCACATTTATTTTCATTCAATTAACATAACATTGGCACCAGATGCACGTATAACTTAGAAATGACTCGTCTATTTGATATTTCATTCACATTATGTAAATAACTAGCTTTTATGCGCATACACATGTCCATTATAAACGCAAGTCACTCTCTAGAGCTATGTATATATACCGATAACAACATTTACTCAGGGATCATTTTGGACTGCGCCCTTGTGCCATACATGCATTGAATTATAATGACGCATTAAATACAACACCCTGGGCCCTTACGGCGCATATGAATCCAAGATGGCGCAAAAGAAGTTTAAACCTGGGCCCTCATAGAAACAAATAACGTAATTTGTCGGTAGTCAGTGTAACAATGTTTACACTGCGTTGCTGACACGGGAAGTAATCACCACTCGGTCAAACATTTCCTTCGTCTTCGGGTTTGGTATGGATAAACAACAATGTATTTCTACGTAAAATTTCCATGTAAGTATAGATTATCCCACAATGCATTCTTCGGTAGTCTTCGAGTTCCTGTGATGCAACAATCGTACCGTAGACAGGTTTGCCTCACCTAGAGCGCTTGCGCTCCCTGTCGCACTTAGACGAAGGGGAGGGTACGAGTCTTCAACAACGCAGAATTCGAATTATCATATATGGAATTGTCTATGTACAATTCCTGGCCATAAGTATTCGTGATTTTAGTTATGGCGGCGTCATTCGCGTAATTTCTCCTTTTTAATCACTGCGCTGTACGCAATGCACTTCCGTCAGCCATTAAACATTCACAATTTATAAATAGCTCATCACGTGACAAGTGTTTATGTTGTCGTCTGCTACTCTACTTCCAGGTGTATTGGCTGTCGGCAAAATGGGTCGGAAATCAAACGAGTTGAGTACCGAGAAGAAAAATGTGATTATAAAATTATTGAATGAAGACCTACGGATTTCGAAAAGTGCTGAAATATTAGATATTTTATGGTCTAGTGTGTTTGCAAGAAATATGAAGCTACTGGATATGTGGAAAGAAATCTTTTACAGTTCGAGATCAGACGTCTTTGAACAGGTGTGTGAAAAATAACCGCTCTCCCACCCTCAATGATATTACAACCAAATTTAATGAAAATAGAGATAATCATTTCAGTAAACGAACGATTTGAAGAACATTAACTTTTGCGCGAAGTCGTGAAATCAACTTAAAGAAACGGCACCTGTGGTGTCGAGAAAGGAGACTTTGGACTGTCGCTAAAAAACTGGAAAAACTTCATAGTTTCTGACGAAACTGCCAAGTGGTTGTTGGAACTGATGAGCGTGTATGTCTGGAGAAAGGACGATGAATTTAAGCTTACAAGCCCGAATGCTTGTGACGCCCCTCGCACCGAAAGGTCAGTTTGATGATCTGGGGATGCATTACTTATAATGGTGTTGGCACTATTACCCCTGTAGAGGCACTATCAATGCTGTTAAGTACATAGAAATATTAGAGAACCATTTTGTCCAGTTACTGTGCGCCGTAATCCAAATGAAGACTACATATTCATGGACGACAATGCTCCCGTCCATCGGGTTTATGTTGTAGTGGACTACAAGAAGGAAAACAACATAACTGGTACATCATGCCCCACAATCTCTTGATTTGAATGTGATCGAAAATATCTGGCTTCGTCTTAAAAGAGAACTGCGGCATGTCGCCGCCAACATAACAACAAAGATCAGCTCATGGACGCAATCCGTACTATCTGGAGCAACTTGTGTTATGGGACTATATGAAATCGTTGAACGACACTATTCCAGGAAGTTGCCTACGTGAAGTACCAAATGTTAAGGTAAGACTTACTTTAGTTACGGAGATACACGAGTTTTAGTTAAACCCTGCCCACAGTAACTATGACGTCATAACCAAAAATCAGAACTACTTATGGCCAGGGACTGTTCTCCGATTGCACTGCACGCGACTCGCCGACTCTTTCCGGCACTATTTGAAATCGTAATGCAAAAAGATTACAGCCCTGCCGTACAAAGGCACCTTAATGAGTAAAGTTCCCATTGCTTATGTTCGTTAAAGGGTTATTACATCTGATATTAATTTACAAAGTGTTAAATAGAACATATAGATGTATGCATAGTGTCATGTGTAATCATTTGTGTCATATTCTATACCATTACCCATACAGGTGAAACCCTGTTGCAATATATTTTGTATATTTGCACAGAGTGCAATTCAGTGATTCTCGACGTTGATTGATTGAACTCACGTATATTCATACATTTTCATTGGATGGATCTACTTTACATTCTTAATATTTCATGGATTCATTGATGAACTGGATTCGAGATTTTAAAAGCCCCCAAAAAAAAACAACAATAATAAACAACCCCCAACAAAAACACTCCCCAAAAAAAATACAATAACGACAAAAAACAAAACAAACATATAAGTTAACGTTACAAAATATTGACAGTTTTTTGTTGTTCTGTATCCAACAACAGTCACCCGCCTTCTGACATGAGTAGGCTTGATCGACACATTTGTGGTAACGACTTACTATTGCATATGTGATCGTACTCGTGGGAGTAGTTAATAAAATCGCCACCAAACCAATTTGGAAACTGTTGAATTGTGCTGTTTTTCTTACCCTTCTCAGCAGTACTACATCTTGGTCGTATGTGATTTCATTAGGATTGCGCAGTTTGGTTTCATCTGCGCATTAATACAGCTCAGCTAATTTAGTTGCAAACACTTGCATTAGAAGATTGCAGCTTTGAGTTGATAAATATTGGTATCTCGGTTTAATTACAGAATGGGTATTAACTAAAATAACCCATGAGGTACGAGTGAAATCAATGCTAAAGCTCGGGACGGTTGTATCCCATTACCCCTACATCCACCGCGCCAGTACCCCTACAATTAGTTAAAGCAACACACGGTATTTACCGTTTGGCATAATGAACTTACCCATGGGAGCGATTCAAGTGTTCTGTATACAACTTAGAAAGGATTAAGGTGTTCTTGGTTAGAGAAAGTTTGTTAAGATGAAATGAAGTAAATGTTGAAATCTGACACTGAGATGAGACAAATGTAATTTGAGATGACTTAGTATAGTAAAGTGTTTTGTATACAAATTAGAAAGGATTAAGGTGTTCTTGGTTAGAAAGTTTGTTTAAGATAAAATGAAGTAAATGTTGAAATTGACACTGAGATGAGACAAGTAATTTGAGATGACTTAGCATAGTACATAAATGTTGGAAACAAACTAACATGACATCAACATGGCTGGTCTTTGCAATGTTGAGTTTGTTATGTCGCGGAGAGGTAGCACCCAAGTCCTATTTGAGGGTTATCTACACACTAAGAATGTCTTGTGTACACTGGAAGTGTGTCCAGTCACAACAGTCAGAATTGTTTTGAGGAATGCGACGGAGCGTAATCATCCGCCATAGGATAGCCAGAAGGTCCGGCTTGTCAGCAACCTGAGGAAAAGAGCGAGGGAGCAGGCAACATCGATGCACACCCTCTACAACAACGAGATTACGAACTTGGACGATGATAAGATACCATTGATGCCATCCTTCCCGACTATGAGCAGTGCTATGTACCGCCATCGACAGAAAACAATTCCTGTTTTGCCGCAGACGAGTTCGGAAGTGAACCTTAAAGATTCCTGGACGCAGACATCAGATGGTCGACCCTTCCTCCTGTTTTCAGATGGTGATGACGATAAGATCCTTGCATTTGGCACCATGAATAGTCTTCAGGCCTTGCAGTCTTCTGAAATCATATATATGGATGGAACCTTTACTGCCTGCCCTGGTCTGTGGAATCAAGTGTACATCCTACATGCAAGAGGTGAAACCACAACCTATCCCCTCATCTTCACCTTACTCCCCGACCGTCAGACTGAGACCTACTCCAGACTCTTCAGACTCATCAAGAATGAAGTTCAGCAGAGACTTAACCGGCTGCTTGCCCCATCCTGTGTCCAGACAGACTTTGAGCTGGCGGCAATTCATGCTATAGAGAGAGAGTTTCCGACTGCTGAAGTGAGGGTTGCTTCTTCCACTACTGTCAGGCCATTTGAAGGAAGGTCCAGGATCTGGGACTTGCTGCTTACAGAGAGGATCTGGAAATATCCAGATGGGTAAGAAGAGCGGCTGGACTACCCCTTTTACCCCAGAACAGTATCCAGGACACGTGGGTTGACGCCATGGACGACGCTCCTGATGTACCAAGAGCGTCCACCTTCAACCGTTACATGGTGACTACCTGGGTCGACGACGACGCAGGATTCTGTCTGTCACTGTGGAACCATCACTCCCACATCGACACCCGAACATCTACTGAGTTGTGGAGGTGATCAGGAAAAGTTGAACACGCTGAGAGAGCGAAATTTCCCCAGATAGACTTTGAGCAGCACAGAGAAGCAGAAAAGAGAGTACAGAGAGATGGGCATCGTTGTATTAAGCCTCAAGAGCAGCTCAATCTTGGGCTGAAAAACCAATGCAGTTCCTTGACGCTGTGGGCCATCTCCTCAAATTGGGATAGAAACTCGTTTAAAAGACAAACATTAACATTATAAAGTTAACATGACCTGTTGCTCATATTCATGTCACGACCAGGAAGATATCTGTGTATTATATTCATTTATTTGTGTAATTAAATCAATAGAATTAAAACATTAAATCTTGTGTTCATGTGTTTGGGCTAGTCCATTGTCCAGGTAACAGGAAGGGGATTAGCAGTGCATTGACCGTGAACTTGTTGTTATAAGCCGTAGGGGTAATGGGAGCCCAGGAAAGAGAAATTTCAATATTCCTATTCCCGAAGTTGAAACCAAAGTTGTGCTAGAAGTGCCGCTATGGCGAATTGCTATGAAAACATCAGATTACCATACTCAGATTTAGCGCAGGATGCCAATAATTAATCTGTTAGCCCTCTTCGACGGAGATGAATTTTAAAGTTGTTTCCAAGTT